AACTTGCAGTGAATTGGAAATTATGAGCCTTCTTGGGTCAAACTGGCCATGTGGCTCTTCTAGTAAATGGATACCAGAGAAGCAGGAATGTTAAAGAACTTATCAACTGAGTCTGAGAGGGCCACCCTATGCACAACTCCAGGGGGCACTATTCACATCAAGTCTGTGGAGTTGACCTGTGCACAGTCTACATGCAGGAGTGAGGCAGCCCCAGAATCTGGAAAATTAATTCCTTCTACCCTCTGGTTTGTTTAATAACTAACAGTTAAATGTGTTGCGTGAGTGGAAGGTGGAGTTGTGGAAACATGAGGAGGGAGCATTGCATTCTCTGGGGAACCCGGGAGTTCTTCGCAGAATAGGTTACACTTAAACAACATGAAGGGATGGGTAGAAGAAATGGGAGAAGGGCTTTCCAGGCATGTGGAGCCCTGCATGTTGAAGCACGGAGCTGCACAAAAGCCTGGCATGATTGGGAAAGATGGGAAAAGTTCAGGGTCTGAGGACAGCACAGGGCTAATCCAATTACAGGCTAACCAAGTGAGTTCAGAGACTTCATCCTCTACAGCTGTTTCTTCCTCGAGCAGGACTGTGCCTGCAGGCACACCCAGGTCTGCCTGAGGACATGCAGGTCAGAAGGGGCCTCTACCATCTGAGGAATGTGCTGCCATTTCTGTTACCCAAGCTCCAGCCAGCTGGACGTCTGGAGCCACCACATCCTTTCAGATTTAAACACAACTTCCCTTGATGGGAAACCAGCCTCCCTCCCCAATCCCTGCGGTTTCTCCCAGGCACCACTGACTCCTACTCCTTGCTTCTTCCGCGTTATCTCATCTTCTCGGTTTGCTAGACACGATCTAGCAGCACTGGCACACATCCAGCTGCGCAGCAAATTTTACTGAAGGTTTTAAAGTATAGTGCAGCCCATAAGCCCTGGCGGAATAGTAAAGGGCCTCTTCTTTACCACCGGCCACTCCCACCACTCAGGGGGATTGGGGGTCTTAGCAGTTTGCTGTTAACTCGGCCCCCCTCTGTTCTACTCATCTTCTCATTCCCCACAAACCCCTGATTTCTCATCCAAAGCAATTGGGCTCATCCAGCCCCATCCTCCAATAACCATACAGGACAGTAAGGTTTTTGTTTTGTTTTGTTTTTTGTTTTTAGTTTACTAAAGGAAAGCCAGCTCACACTGAGGATTTCTATACTGGTGTTTTCTCCCTCCCTGCTACCATCCTTGAAGGGCAGTGTAGGAGGAAGTTCTCAAGAGCCTTTATGATATAATGAGATGTAAAAATCCACCCTCCGGTGCTGCCGAGTTTCTTAGTGGCCTTGCTGAGGGGCTGGGATTCTACTCCATCCATTTTTGGCCAAATGAAAAGACACATCAAAGATTCCCTTCTCTTCCTGGGAATTGCAAAACCCTTCTGTCTCCAGAATGTGTAAACAGACCCATGCTAACTGCAGGGGAAACTCTGACTCTCCCGTCCGTCAGCCCCTGGGCCTTTGTGCTGCCTGGTGCTGTTGTCTGAGCTTGGCAGGCCAGCCCCGGTCAGGGGATTAAGCGACGGGCTCGGTGGCGCTGCAGTGTATGGAGATTGCCCAAGCCCTAGGCATTTCCTGTTGCGAGAAGGCCAGGCCCTGCCCGGGGCCTGAGCACGGGGGCGGGGCCTCCTTCCCCAAGCCAGGGACGAGAGGGAGGGGCCAGGGACTAGAGGGAGGGGCCAGGGACGAGGGAGTGGCCAGGGATTAGAGGGAGGGGCCAGAAACTAGAGGGAGGGGCCAGGAACTAGAGGAAGGGTTCCCCCGGTGTGCAAGCTAGCCTGGAAAGCAGCGGAAAGCGGCTTTATGCATCTTACTATATCCTGAGCACTCAACGGGGTTGCGAATTAGAGAAAGCCAATTGTAAATCCTTCTTTAAGTTCTTTTCATAAAATATAGGGGGAGAAAAGTCCCTGGACAAGGCATCAGATAACCACACCAGAATTTCACCTTCAGGAATCACTTCTTTTCTCTAGATCTGACTCCTCTTCTGTGCAGTGAAAAGGCTTAATTAGATGAGCTCCTAAATGATTAAGAGGCTCATGAACCTAGTTGAGTCCCCTATGGAATAAAGCGGCTTTATTCTTGGAGTTTCTTAACGTTCGTGGTGTTGCTGTGTTCAGCTTTAGGGTATAGAATTTCTGTTATCTCCTTTGGAAAACTGCCCCAGAGCGGGAATGCCCAGGCTTTCAGAGCCATATTTTGTTTATCTATGTTCACAGACACTTACACAGAAACATACGTCCACCGCCAATGTAAAGTTTAACCACATATAGGATATATAAGATTCCTGCTTTCACATCATAAGGTGAAAGAAACCTCTGAAATTATAAGGTAAAATCATATGAACTATAATATTTTATTGTGTTGGGGACTTTATTTTGTCATATTTTGCAGTTGTAGATTATCAAAATTAAGGTCAGGTGCAGTGGCTCACACCTGTAATCCCAGCACATTGGGAGGCTGAGGTGGGAGGATCACTTGAGCCCAGGAGTTTGTGACCGGCCTGGGCAATGTGGCAAAACCCCATCTCTACAAAAAAAAAAAAAATAGAAAAACTAGCCGGGCACATTGATATGTGTCTGTAATCCCAGCTACTCAGGGAGGCTGAGGTGAGAGAATTGCTTGAGCTGGGTTAGTTGAGGCTGCACTCCAGCCTGGGTGACAGAGTGAGATCCTGTCTCCAAAAAGAAACAAAAAACAAGTATCGAAATTAGCAGGTACAAGGGGAAGTCAAAAACGAGCGTGTATTTGTTGCCATCAAATGATTAGAAAAGCAAACCACAGAAGAACAAAATCCAGACTGGCCAATGCTGAGAAACAAATGAGAATGAGGTTGCATGAGTTCAAATCCAGCTCTGTCACTTAGAAGCTGAGTGACCGAAGTCATTTAACCTCTCTATTCTTATTCTCTAAAATAGGAATAATAACACCATGTACCACCTTGGATGGTTGCAAGATTAAAGGATTAATAATACATTTAAAGCACTTAGAAGAGTGACTGGCACATAACATGGGAAAGGCTGCATAAATTCAATGGCGTGTTATCATGAATGCAATATGTGTTTATTGAGTACCTACTTTGCACTTAGAATACAAAGGTCAGCAGAATCTGAGAGACAGCAACCAAGTAAGAGAGAGAGAGAGAGACACCCAAGTGTCAGCTGTCAGAATGTTGTACATCCTAGTCTGCTATGACCTCTCTGTCCTTTAAGATGTATTAAATTTTTTAAAAATCATTTTAAAGAAGACTGCCCATCCCAAGCACAACATGTAACTCAGGGAGTCTTAATGTGCCAACATGTTTCTGCTTGCTTTGTCACCTTTCATCCTGACCTCTCCTGCCTTTGCTTCTTTGTACCTTGCCTCCTGCATGGGTACCCCATCCCACGCAGTGGTACCCTGCATAGAACTTCACCCAAATGCCATCAAAACAAGGCTATGACAAGCAGGCTTCAGCATTGTGAGCAATTTCTCCCTCTTTTGTTCTTTCCTCTGCTTTATCAACCCCTTTTCCAGCTTCCTTTCTCTATCCAGAGGAGAAATCATGCCACTTGCTTATAATCCATCCATGACTGTAAACAGTGATATTTTTCTCCGCACAACAAGAATAGTTACAGTGCCAAGATGAAGAGCAGTCGCTACATCTCCTCCCTTTTTTCCATCCATAAAGTTACAAGTTCCTCTTGTCTTCTTTCTTCATCTTAAAAAATATAAACACTAACTTCTTGTCACTGAGCTAAGTTGCAGACACTAAATTAACTTCTTTATTTGAGTCATCTCATTTAACTTATTTGTAAATTCAACAGATAATTCTTGGGCACCCACCACATACTATGTAGTGCTATTCTAAAAACTGGGAATACAATTGTAAGCATGACAAAAGCCTCTGTGGAACGTATGTTCTAGTGTGGAGAGACAGATATTAAGTAAGTATCAAGCCATGATGAGATGCTTAACTAAAAATAAAACAGATTGTTGGGATGGAGAGACCGGCTACTTTAGAAGAAATTTCCAGGGGAGGCTTCTCTGAGGAGTGATATGAAAATCCATCCATCAGAAGGTGGGGTAGGGAAAGTGCTTTCCTGGACAAGGGGACAAGGGGACACTGTGCACAGGCCCCAAGACAGAAATTTGCCCAGAGTATTTGAGAGAGGGCAGGCAGGCAGGCTGGAGCTCAGGAAGTGGGGGGGGGCGCGCATGATAAGGAAGAAGGCCAGAAAGGTGAGCAAAGGCCAGAACACACAGGGCAGAGCTGGCATTTGCACTTACCCTGCTGCTTTGTGGAGAACAGATCATAGGTGAGTCTAAGGGCAGCATGAGGCCAGTTGGGAAGCTACCACAGTGTCCAGGAGCAAGTGCATGGGGGCGTGGGCCCAGGGTGGTGGTTGGGGTGGAGAAGTCAACAGATTTCAGATCTTTAAGTAGTAGCAACAGAACTAGCTGGCAAGTTGGGACAAGTGGGGGAAAGGCAGTAAAGAAGAGAGAGTGACTTCCAGGCAGGGGGGAAGACTACAGGAGGAGCACATTTAGGGTAGGGAAATCAGGATATCTCTGCGGTGGTATTGTTGAGATCTTTTTTAGCCCCCAAATAATGTGAATGTCAAGTGAGTAGTTGGAGTTCAGAGGCATCAGGGCTGAAGACATAAATTCATAAGTCATCAGCATGTAGGTGGGGTTAGATGCGATTCCCACAAAGGAGCAGAGCTATAGAAAAGAACAAGAGAACAGGACTGTACCACAAACTTACCAGGTAGCACTGCTTACATTCCCACTCTATAGATAAGGAAAACAAGCTTAGGTGGTTTCAGTGATTGGCCCAAGATCCCAGGAAACAGTAGCACTGGGATTGTACTCTAGGCAGTCTGACTCTACAAGCTCTACTCCTAATCACTTGGCCATAGTAGACAGGTCCACACAGCAGTGCTGTTTTGCTTCCTTCATGTGCCACAATTTCTCTGCAGGAAGAAGATGATGATGGTCTGCCTAAGAAAAAGTGGCCAACGGTAGATGCCTCTTATTATGGTGGGAGAGGCGTTGGAGGCATTAAAAGAATGGAGGTAAGAGGACAGTTTAATATATACTTATCTATGTGCTGACTACTCCCATCCAGGTACCAGCCAGGGCCAACCCTGCTTAGCCTCTAGATATCAGGCATGCTCAGGGCAGTATGGCCATAGACCATGCTGACCACTCAATGTCAGAAACCCGAAGCAAATTGCTGAAAACCTGCTTGAGGTCTGGTGGGGATATGGACTGTAAGGCAGACAGATGGAGAGACAGGAGGGACAGCCTTTTCACTGTGCGCTCCCATGTCTTGCCCACTGTGAGTCAGAGCAGGGAACACATCAGTTCAAACTTCCTCATGATTTCTTTTCTCACTGAATTAAAATCCAAAGTTCGTACCTGAACCTGCAAGGTCTTTGCATGTACTGTCCCCGCTGCCTGGACAATTCCTCCCTAAATATCCGCCCATGTGGTTCGCACTCTCTGCTCCTTCGGTTCTCCCCTTTTCTCTTTTTCCACAGTTTCCCTCTTGTCTGGTCCTCAAAACCCAAAGGAATCCAGGGTTGGGTAGCATTCACATTGCAACTAATGCATGTATTTCTCATTCTCATTCTCAAGGGGCAGCATATTTTGTCATTTTGTTTCATTGTATTTTATTTATTTTAGGTTCGTTGGGGAGAAAAGGGCTCCACAGAAGAAGGTGCTAAGTTGGAAAAGGCAAAGAATGCAAGAGTCAAGATGCCGGAGCAGGAATATGAATTCCCTGAGCCGCGAAATCTCAACAACAATATGCGTCGGCCTTCTTCCCCACGCAAGTGGTACTCTCCGATCAAGGTGTGTCTTTCTACTCAAAAATCTATCGTCAGTCCTGATAAAACACTTACATAGTGAAGAATCAGAATCTTTCCAAGTGATAAAATCCCAACCTAAAATCCAGCTCATCACAGGGGAACAATTATCTAAAATTATGGACTTGAAGTACAAGTAATTACTATCAATTTCCACATAATCTGGGTTGAAAACTAGGCTTTTTAAAAATCACCATGGTGCTCACTTCTGCAGCACATATACTAAAATTGGAACAATATAGAGAAGATTAGCATGACCCCTGGGCAAGGATGACATGCAAATTCATGAAGTGTTCCATATAAAAAAAAAAAAAAATTCACCATGGCAAAGTAGTGGAAAAAGCATGGACTATGAGTCAAGTAACTTGGGTAGTAACCCCAGAGAGTGACTATAAATTTCCATAACATCTCATAACTTCACTTAGTAGACAATCTACTGTCTAAGAAAAATGGCAGCATACTCCTTGATGCTAATCTCTACTCCTTTTGCCATAACATAAGCCCATTCCCTTTTATTTGAGCCTCCTGCCAGTGTATCGGGGCCCACCAGCAAATCTCAATGGCCATGGATCTAGGACTCACTCTTCCTGGTTGTGAACAAATCTTTTTTCTCCACCATCTCTCTTTCCCCCACATCTCCAGAGCTTAAAATCCTCTTTGGTTTATTGGGAAGTATAAGCCATAGGAGGCAGTTAATGCTTCCTAAAGGCCTCTTTTTTTTTTTATTTTATTTTATTTATTTTTTGAGACAGGTTCTCACTCTATCACCCAGGGTGTAGTGCAGTTGTGTGATCTCTGCTCACTGCAGCCTCGACTTCCCAGGCTCAAGCCATCCTCCCACCTCAGCCCCCCAGGTAGTTGGGACTACAGGCACACACCACTACACCCGGCTAATTGTTGTATTTTTTTTTTTTTTTTGAGAGATGGGGTTTCACCATGTTGCCCAGGCCTGTCTTGCACTCCTGAGCTAAAGCAGTCTGCCCACCTTGGCCTCCTGAAATGCTAAGATTACAGGCATGGGCCACCATGCCCAGCCTGAAGGCCTCTTTTCTATTCTGCTTGGTCCAAATGGCTTTGAATTCACATGATTGAGTTAACACCTTCACTCTTTAGCCGTGCCCATACACATCTGCACTATGCCACTTATCAAAGAGCACTGGAAAATTATAGCTGAAAAGACTCTAGACATAATCTGTTCCCACCCCCTGATTTTATACTAAGATAGGCAAAGTCCTTGTTCTGCTGAGGTCTGGAACCCAAGGCCCCCAACTCAGGGCTACAGACTCCAGTTTCATGCTGCAAACAGAACTGAGCCAACTCCAAAGCCTCAAGTCAAAGACTCAATAGAGCCAGTTCCCATCACCATCCATACACACATACACGCGCACACACACACACAGCCTTACCCCCTTCTGATAGCAACAAAGATTATTTTCATCATTCGCTGAGTTAATTTGCTAATTTTGGAGCAGGACTTCTCCAACAAAATCAAAAGAAGTACCATTGCAGGCAGTGTAACAAAACGTTATTGATGGTCACCTTTACCTCAGCTGAGCTAGCTCAAGCTCACCTGAATTGCCACGCATTTCTATTTTGTTTTGCCATGTTTAAAGCAGTGAGATTCTTTTTTTAGGATAAGCCTGCCCCCTGGGGTAATGGATTGAACTCTGAAAAGATGTGGGCAAAATGCAGCTCGCTTGACTAACAGCTGTTTGCTTCTAATTATTTTCTAATGAAGAACATGCAGTGGCGTGCATGCATGTGCAGACAGGAAGGAGCCAAGCAGATTCTCAGCCATGAAGAAGAAAGGGGATTTTCTGTTATGCCATTCTCAGGAATCTGTACCTTGTGACTAATGCCACATCTTTGGTTACAGCCAGGTTTTTGTTTCTGTAATCTGGGACACTGAGAGAACATTAATTCTGTTTGAAAACTCCAGTTTCTACTTGAGAGCATATTATTCCTCTGTTGACTGGCAGTTTAGGACTGAATTTGATGAGGTAAATAAGTATATGGGCCAATACATTTAGAAATCTAAAAACGTTCCCAACACCCACTCAGAATTATTATCAATTCAGTGAGTATTCGTTGTGCAGCTACTGTGTGCCAGGCACTGTAGGATGTTGAATATACAGAGGCTTTCAAACCCAGCTGAGTGTCAGAATCACCTGAGAGTGCTTTAAAAAATACAGATTTCCAGGCCCAGTGACTCAGAATCTCACAAAAGGCCTCCAAAAGCACACTGGCTCTCAGCATTTGTTCACAATGCCTCCCTTTTCTAATTTCACTTCCAGACTCCCTGAGCAATAGGCCTCTGTTGCCCCAATTATCACTTCATCGGTCCTGACTCTTGAGCTTCCTCTTAGTCTCTGTAGAAAAGCACTGGCTCTCAAAGGTGGTCCCTGGACCAGCAGCAACAGCATCACCCAAGAATTGTTAGAAATGGACATTCTTGGGCCCCACCTAAGATCTACTAAATCAAAACCTGTGGAAGTGGGGCCCAGCCATCTGGGTTTTAACAAGCTGAGTTAAGAAGTTGTCACCAGCTGGGCTCAGTGGCTCATGCCTGCAATCCCAGCACTTTGGAAGGCCGAAGAGGCTGGATCACAAGGTCAGGAGTTCAAGACCAGCCCTGGCCAACATGGTGAAACCCCATCTCTACTAAAAATACAAAAATTAGCTGCGTGGTGGCGGATGCCTATAATCCCAGCTACTCCAGAGGCTGAGGCAGGAGAATCGTTTGAACCCAGGAGGCAGAGGTTGCAGTGAGCCGACATCACGCCATTGCACTCCAGCCTGGGCAACAGGGCGAGACTCCATCTCAAATAAAAAAAGAAAAAAAGAAAATGAAGAAGAAGTTGTCACCAAAGGTTCCAGCCAGCATTCCATAGGAAGTTCTTGGGGGACAGGAACTGTGGTGACTGGATCGTTAAAATAGGCAAAGAGGCCATGATTGCACTGCGGTGATTTTTCAGGCATCTCAGCAAGGAGAGCCCCATTAATGTTCACACTGGGTCCATTTTTACCACAAACACAACTGCCGAATTAATGTTAAGTGGTTGGGAATCTGAGTGTCTTAGGAGTCAACTAAAAGGCCAGATGGAAATGACCTAGGATGCCGGTGGACTTGAAGAGCTCCTCGGTGGGACTCCCTCATTAGGATGTGCAGAGCATGAATCCTCCTTTTGCCTGGTGGAACAGCCAATGCCAATGCTTACTCAGCTCCTTCTACTGTAGAGGAAATGCATACACAGCCGTTGGTGTGGTTACTCATGTTTACGAGCCTTCTCTCCACCAGATTTGACCCCCTGCACACACCAGCTATGCTTTGAATCCCAAGTAAACAGTGTTGTACCTGGCTCATCCCTTATTAAAGAGCTGAAGCATGAACGGTAATTATGAAACCACTCCCCAGAGCATCCTGCCGGTCAAACCACGCAGACCGTTTTGGCACACTCTGTCCGGAAAGTGACATTCTTCATGCCATCTCTTTGAGGAGAGAAGAGAAAAAGAGGTTGTTTTAGGTGCAACAAGGAGGATAGAAGCACAGAAAGAAATTCAAAAGTAATCATGCATGCTGTCTATACAGAAGTAAGGCAGGCTTGCTTCCAGAATCTCAGGGTTCATCCTGTTTTACATGATGTATGATCCACAGTGAGTCCCGTGCTAGCCACAATGCCTGAGGACATTTGCTCAGCCTTGGACAAAACATTTAGCCTTATGTGGTGCCATAAACTCCATTTCCCTTTCCTGAACTCTCTCCCTGAACTCGCCGTGGTCCTGATAGGAAACAGAAAGCACACTGAAAAGAGTTGAGCTAACAGAGGTGTGGGCAGAGTGAAGGGAATCCCCAGGCTACGGTGAGGCACCCAGGGGCTGGCAACAACGAGAGCTGTTACACCTGAAGGGCACATGGGAAAATGGTGTTACTGGGTTCCAGGAAGAGCTGCAGCGGTGCAAAGAGACTACTCAACAGGAACTGTTTCTTTAGTTGACAATCTAAATCCACCCCACCACCTGTTTTTATATGATCTGCAAACAAAGAACGATTTTTACATTTTTAAATGGTTATATAAGCACCTATATAATGTTGCCTCTTGCCCTGCAAATCTTTGGCTCTTTACAGACCAAGACCAAAGGGCAGCTAGGTGATCCAGAGGCAGGCTTCCAAGGCATGGCAAAGGCAGGCAGAGAATGGATGGGGGCCGGCAGGTCAGGGAGAGTGACCCGTCCACTCGCTGCCTGCCTTCTGCCTCCTCTATAAGCAAGGAGAACAACTCCAACTCACACAAAACTCTCAGCAGGTATTGGACGGACTCCTGGCTCCCCAGTGAAAGGTGCCAGAATCATATACTTATTGAATTGCATTGCATTAGACTCATTGCTTTCCATGAAACGGAGTTTTTGAGAAGCAGGTGAGCACATTTGCCAAGCAAACCCAAAGAGAACACACGGAGGGAAGAAGTCCACAGTAGGCTCTTCTCCACCCACCATCTCCCCATCTAATTTAAGGCACCAACCACACCGACCACACCTCCCCTCTTCCTCATTCCAGACTCATGATCGGGAAATTTTCCCTGATATTTAGCCTGCATTTTCCTTTGCTTGGTTTTCACCCCCGGATTTACAATACCCCGTGCTTCTCATTAAACTGAGGCTGACCATTTTAGACAAGTGAAGTCATGCCCAGCTATATGGGCAAACTTTTCTTAAAAACCAAAAGAAGAAAAAAAAAAGCGCAACAAAAATTACCCTGTGCATGGCATGCACACACGCATGAGTGTGTGTGTGTCTGTGTGTAGGGAAAGTTTCCGACATTATCCATTAAATCTATTAATTTTTTCCTTTGAGGGAAAGCGCGGGTCACACTATTTACCATGTATTTCTGTTTGGTTTTGTTTTTGTTTTTTTTTTTTTTGGAGCGGGAGTCTCACTCTGTTGCCTGGGCTGGAGTGCAGTGGCGCGATCTCAGCTCACTGCAAGCTC